GGGCCACTCGAGGCGTTCCGCTGGAGCAGGAGATGCGCTTCCCGACCATCGGAAGGCGGGGCTTGGGGTTTGGGGATTGGGGGCGACGTACAACTCATTTGACGATGGTAGCCCCTGGTCAGCCCCTGGCCATCCCTGAACCAAAACCCTCTGCGCCCCAAAGCCCCAGAAACCCGAAGCAAACCCAGGACCCGTCGACCATCAGCGACCATATTTCTTTAAAGCTGCGCGAGGTGCCCCGACTTCGCTCCGGCGGTGCGCAGGCCCTGAAGCGCCTGAAGTCCTAAGCGACTTAAGGCGGTTTGTGCTTTGTTTGGGCGGGTCTGGCAGCTCTCAGATCTTTCCACTGTTGGGGCACAATTTGTTCGCGATTGTTGGACTGGGCAGAGAACGTTCAATCATGTGTCAAATTGAGTGTGCATGCTTGTGGCAATTGGTGAGGGATCCTTGCGCATGTTGCAGAAAGTTTGCAAACGCGCTTTGCCCCCAGAGTTCCCTTGGAGTCACGTCATGGGCGTGCGGGTTCAGACCTAGTCCTCTCTAAGGACATCTTTCTATGGGGAGGAACCCATCATCCAAACTTCCGACCGCCTCCCCATGACGCCACTGAACCCAAAAGCACTCCCGTTCAACAGCCCGAGGGCCACAGGAAATCATTCAGCAAAACAGTGTGGTGCCGTTGTGGGCAGGATCCTTGTTCGGGAGCAGAGCGCCGAGGGGCTGCAGCTCATCCTGCGCGCGGGGCTTCGGAGGTTGACTGTAGAGCATCCCTGGCAAGTTAGGAATATTTAGGAACCATGGGTCCCTTGTGAGGTGATTCGACCAGCTATGAAGACTGTTCTGCGTGGGCTTTGCTTTTGGGGAATCTAAGCTCTTGAGTCGTCAATTACTTCTAGCGTCTCTGTCAGAGAGGCCCAAGCTCTTTCATCTTAACCCTACTACCCTATTAACCACAGTTTTACCTGCAATGGGTTTAGGGCAGCTTGAACAAGCTTAAGCCCACCAGGCCTGGTGTACGGCATCTTGGACAACGACCCTACCGACTACCAGGTGCGCTGCCAGCTGCGGAACGGTTGAGGCTTTGCAGGTGTGACGGTTCAGGATTCACGCTCTCTCTACTTCCACGATCGCGCTTGAGAGGCTGGTTCCACGCTCCGGGTTGTGAAAATGTTGGATGCCCCGTTAGGCATTGCTCATAAGATTAGAGTTCAAGGCCATGTGGGACGTTGCGCCCAGGGCTGGATTGAAGTGGCCGCGCGGGCGATCGCCAAGATCCTCGACGATCCGCCCTCAGCTGCTTCGCACAGCTGTCCGGGGAAGCTGGGGGCGTTGCAGAACCGAGCCGGCATCAGTCCCAAGCGCGAAGGCACGGCTGCAAGATCATATTCAGTTTTCTGATGTTTGGGATCCCTCGTGCGCCCTGCTCCAAAACCCGGGAACTCTGAGAGTTCAAATTAGCTGGGCACCCAAAATCGAGGCCACGACCGTCTGGACACCCTTCGCTTGGGAGGCTGGATTTTTGTTTGAGTTGGGGTTGCAAGCATGCTTTTCAACGAACAACTATAGGTTCTCCAAGGCAATCGGTTTCTGCTGTCGCGTCGATCATAAGCCGCACGCACACCTCTTTGACGGAGCAGCACAAGGGCAGAAAGCGCAAGAAGGCCATTGGTCCCGAGCAGTTCCATAGCCTGCTTGAACCCACTCTACTCCGGAATCTGAGAACTCTTGAATACTCTCGACATCCCGATCTTCAAATATTTGCTCCTGCAAGCTGAATGCTGGGGTACAACGTGCCAGCACCTAAACTCGATGCCAAGCTGGTTAGAATCTTGGCTTGCACATCGAGGGAGATCGTGCATGACCACTTCATGATTTGAAAACTGGTGGCTGCAGAGTGCCAGCTCTAGGGCGCCTCAAGGGGGGCGAGCGGACTTGAAAATCAACGGAGAGATGCTGGGCAAGCTGCTCACAGCCCTCTACAGAATCCGAAGCCTTGAGCTCAAGCCAAACACATTGTTGAAGCCTGAGGGGGCAAGCCCGCAGGTTCTGCTGAAGAGCATCGGCGAATCGATGGGTACTCCGCAAGGCCGCAAGGTGTAATTAGACTCGACGGAAATGTAATAAGCAGGTCGGGAGTGCATCAATGTATATCAATGTCAGGTTCCAGGCAGTTCGAGAAGGGCCCAACATTCACTGGTTCTCGGTTGAAAGAAGCCCTAACCCCTCGATTGCAGCCTTCTGCCGGACTTCTGCCGAGGACGGTATTTAAGCGAATTTGGGTGGGTGCTTGTGTTGGTTGGATCCCCTGTCTGAGAACCCACACCCACAGGCCGAAACCGGCTCTATGAGCTGAACACCTACCACGGCCTGGAGAAGGCCCTTCCTTGAGAATTCTCAGGGGTCCTGGGATGCAAAGCGATGAGAAGATTGAGAATTGGTGAGTGCCGAAAGCGATAGCTGCCAAAGTGCTGCCAAAACTCACACGAGGCTTGGGAGAAGCTGAAGACGAGCGACGAGACACTC